TGGGGAGGTGATCTCAAATCGTGACGCTATAAATCTGCTTCTGCACATAATTAGTGCAAAGGATGTGCAGATTTCCATTTGCCCCTCCTAAATTCTGCTGCCTTCCGATCCTCTCCTCGCAGCCGGCCTGGATGGAGCCCATGGCGGGTGGCAACCAGACCCCCCGGGGGGCGGGGTTTTTGTTTTTGGGGTTTTCTGGCATCCCCAACGGCCGGCCCGTCCTCTTCCTGCTGTTCCTGGCCATCTACCTCATCACCTTGCTGGGCAACTCTCTGATACTCGTTTTGATCCAGCTGGATTCGCGCCTCCACAGTCCCATGTACTATTTCCTCAGCCATTTGTCCTGCTTGGACATTTGCTATTCCTCGGTCACCCTCCCCACCATCCTGGTGAACTTCTTGCGCCAGCAGCCCATCATTTCCTATAACGAGTGCATGGCCCAGATGTTCTTTCTGATGACGTTTGCAGGAACTGAGTGCGCACTGCTGGCTGTCATGGCCTATGACCGCTACGCTGCCATTTGTGAACCTTTGCACTATTCGCAGCTCATGAGTAGCAGGGTGCGAGTCCCTCTGGCTACTGCTTCATGGATCTGGGGCCTTCTCAACTCAACCATTCACACAGCGCTGGCAACTGATTTGGCCTTCTGTGGAACCAACGAGATCCATCACATCTTCTGCGATGTCCCCCCACTCTTGAAAATTTCTTGCAGTGACACGTATGTTAATGAGATGGCTCTTCACATAGCAACTATCACTGTGGGTCTGAGCCCTTTCCTCCTTGTTGTCATTTCATATATGTACATCTTATCTACTATTCTGCAAATCCATTCTAACACCGGAAGAAGAAAGACCTTCTCCACATGTGCTGCTCATTTAACTGCAGTCATTGTCTACTTTGGGATGGCCAACGTGAACTACAACCGGCCCAGTGCAGGCTACTCTTTGGGAGTGGACACCCTGGTCTCCACCCTGTATTGTATCATCACCCCCATGCTGAACCCCCTAATCTACAGTCTCCGAAACAAGGAGGTCAAAGGGGCCCTACAAAAACTTCTCAGCACTCAGCAGAAGGAAAGTGCATCTCCTGGAAGGCAGTGAAGGAAAACATGGATCACCTTCCTACTGCGTATCCTTGTCTATAGACCAACAACAATTTTTCTAGACTGAGGGACTGTGTAGCTGCAAATTGCAATGGGGCTCATTGACCCAGTGAAGTTTGACTCTGGGATTCTTCCAGCCATAACTTTCCCTCTTCTATGTCTCCATTTTGGTTTACTCATTTAAGGTGGAAAGAAAAAAAACATCTGGAGAACTTTCTCCCACCTACCTCCAAAACATTGCTCATGGTATTCGCAGAAGGATCTCTTCCCTCCTCAATATCCCCTTGACTGCCACCTCCTTATGCATCCTTCAGGTTATGCATCACACAAGGAGAAGCCTGTGTGGGGCAATGAGTTGAGGTAGATGAGGAGAATGGGTAGAACTACTGGAACAGAAGGCTGAGCGGTAGAAGTGAATCCTCGACA